ACGATTTGATAGGCAAAAAAACTATTATCTATTCTAACAATTATTGATTTTTTTAGGTTTATCTATTGCGGTAACGTTGATTTGAATCAATTACAAGTTTTCGAATTATTGAAACTCTTCATGGTTGCAAACGAGCTTAGCATCCAACACCTAGCCTCAAATGTTCAAGAGTACATTAATCAACATAAAGTAAAATTCATAAAATCTCATCCCGTGGAGATCATCGAAATAACTTACGAACGTGAATTATTTACAGATTTATGGAATTTTTCTTTCGTTGAAATTTGTGAGAATCCTGAAATATTAATCAATTCTGATAAATTTACCAATCTAAAGGCTCCTATAATGGAATTACTTTTGAAACGGGATGATCTGAATTTATATGAGAGCGTTATATGGGACAGTGTGGTAAGGTGGGGTTTGGCTCAGAGTTCTTTAATTAAACATGATGATGTAACCAAGTGGACCAGGCAGGATTTTGATATTATGAGGGAAACAATTCGAAAGTTGATTCCGTTAATAAGATTTTATCATATTTCTTCAGAAAACTTTTATCATAAAGTTTTGCCTTACAAAAAATTGTTACCAAAAAAATTGGTTTACGAGATTTTAGAATCTCACATAGTTCCAAACAAGAAACTAAATATTGATGATATACAACCGCCGAGAAAACCAAAAGGAACGTTTACTTTAGATGATCATGGAGCCATCTCTGAGAAATTGATCAGCACTGTTCTTGATAAATTAGATAAATTAGAACAAAATGAAAATGTTTTAATATCCAAAAGGTCATTTATCATGAGGTGTCTTGTATTAATTCCGATTGAATCCGATGTTCGATTAGATCTTTATAAAAAAAGATTATTCTCAAGAGAACCTTTTCCATTAATGGGCGCGATCATTAGAAAGATTTTTCTTGTAGAGGATGACGAAAACAATAATATATACTTCACGTTGATTAAAAATGCCGAAGTAGCTCTGGGACAATCTGCTCGATTAAATCTCATCAATGAATATTTTGAAGACTTGGACACAAACATGTCAACATTATGTTGTGATGTTATTGAGGAAACTTTCTTTATGAATTGTGAATTAGAGGATTTGTCTCCCTACTTTGGACACGCCATTGAGTCTTTATATGGACAGGGAGCGCCAGCGTTGCAAAGAATAGCTGCTATCGCTTTACTCAAGGAATTCGTTCGTCAATTCTGGGATAGCTTTCTTCAAGAAGATAAGAATAGTCTCATCGCGTATAACAAAGCAGAAGGTGACGAATTTGATAGTGTTGGATTAATTAATCAAATTAATCATTGTATGAATTACGCTCATCCTTTAATTAATTCTCTCAAAATTTACTTTTTAAGAGATTTACGTCAGAGAGATTTTTCAATGGATGATGTTAAAAGGTTTTGCGAAGTTCAGAAAAGTACTCTACCTTGGCTTGGAACGTTAAATTGGGACGGTGTTAAAGAAAATCGTTTACTTGTCAATCCATATTCTATTTTGCCCGAATATGATGATCTAGAAAGCTTCTTTACGACTTTGTATAATATAAACCACCAAACACCTTTCAAAACATACATGCAAAAAATAAAACAAAAGGATACCTTATCAGCAAGGTTATCTTTAATGGGACTTATCTTTATACGTCTGCATGCTATAAGGGCTTCAAGAGAGTGGCAACATCCGGAAATACAATCAGCTGATTTTTTGACCAAAGAGCTCGCAGAAATGAATAATCTTCCCGATTTATTTAAAACAACGGCAATAAGGATCTTGTCGAATAAATTTCCTTTACTTCAGATTAATAATTCCAATATTAGTAATTCAGATTTGCTTTTAAAATCTGTTATTGCACACATAATCGCATTTCACGCTTCAGTTGAATCGAATTCATCTCAATTGGCAATGTATTTGCACGGATTACAAGATTGTCAGAATTTGTTTATTTTAGCAGGCACTCCTGATATAGAATCGATAGTGTTGAATGCAGTTGCTGTTAAAGAAAGAATCTCTAGATATGCTTGTCAATGCGGTTTTGTATATGTAATCGGAAATAGCGGTAAACCTGTACAAAGTAGTAAATGTCAAAATTGCAAAAATACGATTGGTGGAGTGAATCACAGAGCTGCACCAGGAAATACTCAAATAGATAATCAAATGATAAGTCATGTTGTAGCAAATGATCAATTGGGATATATTGGAGAACTTGTTAACCAAATTTCGACTCATAGCGTCAGATCTTTGCCGGCTGCTTCATATCGTATTTTACATTTGATTGTTCATTCTCTTATTGGAGCATCTTCACCCCAGCCTGCACTTGCTTTCCTTCGAAAAAATAATCAAATTGCAACAGATGCCGAAAAATATTGTATGAACCATATTAGAAGTGATTGGGCAGTTCTCAAGAATATTCTTAATTGTTCAGATGAGGCATATTTTGTTTAGTTATTTATTGACTGTACTGTTCATTAATTAAAAAACAAATGTAATAACTAACGATAACTTATGATTTATAATTTAATCAGACTCTGGCGCTAATGTTCCACTCGTTAATTTCTTTAATGACGGAAAAACCTCCGTTACCGAATCAACAAATAAAAACGACTGCCGAACGTGAGAACTGGGAAATGATTTTCCATAGAGATTATGTTGAACCACATATTAGAAATATAACTGAAACAACAGCCAATTATCGTACGAAATTAGACGTAATTTCGTCTAAACATCAAAAAAACCATAGCTGGATTAAGGGTGAAATCGATCAAACTTTAGTGATGGATAAACAATATAGAGTTGAATATTTACCAAGTTTATGGAGGACGATTGGGATGATAAACTTTGATAGTTTTCGTGCTTATTATATGAGTGATTTGACAAGAAATACGAAGAATTATCCATTCCTTTCAGTATTTTTCAAATACGTTGGACAATTAGATTTACTTCGACACCTTTTACCTATTGTAAAGTTTGTACAACTTTTGCATTCCAAGCTTGGATTTCGCTTATCAAGACAAAAGGCAAGAGATTTGTCCTTCAGACAATTTATAGAACAAGAATCTGATGATGGTGAACATCGTGAAATGTTCAATAGCTTGAAGACAGCCTTTAACGACTTTAAACTTGGGTGGGATAAAGTTATATATTATGTTAAACGATATCTATGTCATGAACTTCCAAAAGACAAACCAATCATGAATTATGAACTTCCAGTAGTTTATGGTTTAATGGAACCGAAGGATACGGGAATTTTCTTATGCGCAATTTTGGACTATTTAGTAAATTTACAAAATAATTTCTTGCAAGAAGTCGTGGCAATTCCACCCGGAACTTGTAGATCTCTCAAGTTTTTAGATGAACCAACTTTTGCGTCGACTTCAGCTCAACCAAACACCCCTAACGGATATTATCTACAATCTATGCGTATTGATCATGTTAGGTCCGGAAATATTGTAAACTTTGAATGGCATGACGAAATTCTTAAATATTACCAAAGAAATCTGGAAATCGCAAAAGGACACGATATTGTTTACGATTTAACAAAAATTGAGGTAGAATTGGCAAATATTCTGGTTTTTGAAAAAGTTCATATTGAAACACAACCAGAATCTCAATTATATTTAGAACCTTTCCCATATCACATGGAATTGTTCCATGGATGTGTGAGAATACTCAATGATATTAAGGATTTAATACCTCAAGAACAAATCCCAATTGAGAAGATGCACTTATTAGTTGGTTCTCAAACGACGTTAGATATTTCAGAAATTTTATCATCATTGGAATGTCTTTTATGTTCTGTCAAACGTACAGCAATTAGGGATGGAGAACAATCGATTAAAGATTATGTTTTAAAATCATTAATCGAGCATGTAGGGTTCTCAAAATTTTCAAATATCGATTTACGACTTAAACACTTGGTTGCTTTATATGAACTTTTTGAAGAACAGGTTGCCAACCTTCAAATTGAAAATATCCATAAAAAATATAAAGCTCCACTTACAGAAGATATGAAGGCCAAAATACTTGAATCTGTAAATTTTAAACAAACCACCCTAAATGAATTTTTACCAGCAGAAGCATTTACTTTGGCTTTAAAACGATTCATGTTTCGATTTTTAACCACGGAAGATCAAAAAGAAATGGAACCATTATATATTTATTTACAAGATATTTCATTGAATTTCTGGCCGTCAACAATTTCAGAGAATCGTATAGATGAATTATTCCCAGAGAATTTGATGGTGGCCAACATATTTGCTGCTTACGAATTTACAATGCAAAAAATGGAGGTAAGAATATTTATTATACATTTATTTAAATTGCTTTTAAAAATGAATTAACAATTTTAATTATTATTAATAATTTTAGCAAAGAAGCTAACCATTATTAATCCACGAATGGCATTAAATACTATTCCAGATCAAACTACGAATCTTATTAGTTATTTGACTGTAATAACCAGTAGCTTTTTTTTATTTGGTATTGATATGAATAAAATTATTTTCTAATTTATTGTACACCTGCCACATGCTATTATAATGATTTCTTTGAACTACGTATTATAAATCGCGACAGAACAAATTTTACAAAAGCTTCTTCTGTTCTTGCGTACTTTTCCATAATCTATGACCGAAAAATTCAGCTTTGCGATGCACGCCGCTTTTTAAAATTTATCTTCCAAGCCAAGTAATTCTGGTATGTCAAATGGATTTACCGTTTATAATAGACTTAGGGTCGTGATTTTAGAATAATCCTTAAAACTTGAAAGAGTCACGAAAATGACAGTCTAGGATAAATTGCATACAATCGATAAGCCTCATCGAATTTTAAGTTTAAGAACAATTAAAATAGCCATTAAAGAATACTTATTTAATTTAGCACATCATATCCAACCGACTAAGGCACATTTAAGCAGCACCTGCTTTGTTACAACTTATGTTAGATTCGCTATGGGTGTTGATTTCCATGTCAGAACCATAATCACTTGGCCAAAGATTTCAATCGATACGTTGAAATCCTATCCCTGAAAATGTAATATCATTGTAAGCGTGAACGCGTTCTTTAACAAAAGGTGCATAAATACTTCTCAGATAAGTATCCTTGAATATATTAGGGTCCAGAGTTTCACCCATTTGGATGACCTGGAAAAGTTAAATACTTTGTAGACATGTCTTATAGACATTCGTTTTGATATACAGTCAGAACTCGATATAACGATTCGCGATGAACCGATTTTGACCTAAACGAACTTTTCTCTTAAATCAAAACCACTTATAATAAAATTTATCACTATATACCGAACACTGGTTGTAAACCAGTTATAATTTATTTATTCGCGATAAGTCGATAACGATTTTTTCTTTGATATATCGATATAAAAAAATGATTTTTTTCTTGATTTAATGAACGACCATCGTTATAAAATTTAACTTTTTTTTTTTTTTTTAATATATCGATATAGTAAAATATCAAATGTTAAATAAATTAATATGAATATAAATCGGAAGATTTTGTTTCTTTTATTAATCATCTTTTACCAACCATCTATGGGACAAGGCAAGAACTTTGTCTCAAAAAATATACAATCTGAATCTTCAATCCAATTAAATATAAATGAGTTTATTAGTTTCGATTAGATTTTTTTTTTGTTCTCAAAATTTTTACAAATAATTACAATAAAGAAATAATATAACATACAATAAGCAAATAATAAATAATAAACAAATAATAATAGTAAAATGTACTTTTATTTTTTTCTTTTACTATTTAAATCGATATATCAAAATCACTAAAACCAACAGGTTCGTTATATCGAGTTTTGACTGTATTTTATTTAATCTTTATGGGAAAAGATAAAACATTTGTATATTTCCAAGGTTTTTTGTGACAGCAAACCTTGAAGCTTCTATCGAATGTACAAAATGGAGTCATCGTTTAGATACTTTTTAGCCCGATGAAAAAATGAAGTATCGAAAAGGTTGGCAATTTCACGTGATGTAACTTATCAAGTAATTATTCTATTGGTCGTAGATCTAATACATACAATAATTACAAAAACAATATTATATTTATTTTTTATTAACAATTCCCGGGATTGGTACATGCTAAAGACAATTTTTCTGCAGTAATGAAAATTCTTTATCGTTCAAAGTTCATTTCTGCTACTTACCTGTGCGCCGACAGGTTCACAGATTTTCCTTCATTTTTGAACTTTAAGCAAAAATCAATTTAGGAAAATTTTATATTTTATTCCCAATGCATTTTTTTCATGCATATTTAATTATTTGATGCAAGAAAGAAATTTCCTTATTCTGACTAAAATGTTTATTTCCTAAATTGGCAAAAACATAAACAATATCGGTTTAGTTATCAATCAAATTCTTCAGGATAATTATATTCCTAAAATTATTTCACTATATAAAAGGTGCTCATTCGACATTTTCACCTACAATTATCAGTCAGTAATAAAATAAGAACAAAAACAAATCATCAGGAACAATGATCAACGATAAGTTTATCAATTATGGGGAAAAAGGTATTGATTATGTAATGTCACTTGTACATTTTATTTATTTGGTCCGTTCCCTTCTGCTTCTTATGTATCATGTGATCGTAATTTATGCAATGTTTACTGTACAAGTCTTATTGATTTTATGATCCCCAAGATTTGGGAAAAAGGCGTTGCTCTATTTTTTTTTTCGTTAAATGATTAGAAGTAAATCTGAAAATAATGAACATGAAACACGGAGGATTCGAATATGAATTCAGTTTTTTGCGAAAAAGGTGCATGAGGAAACAAACAACATGGAGAACTGTCAAAATCCTTTCTTTTCATATGGTATTGTTACTGATTTATTATATTCATTTATCTTATTTAACAATCATAAGAGAATTACATAAAATTTGTATTTTATCAAACTTTAATATTATCATTCATGTGATTTCGAATAATACTTGTGACGATCATAATATAAATTGTTAGAAATCAACAAATCTGCAGTTACCCCAAAATAGTTCAATTATCATCTCTGCGTATCTGATAGGATGTGCACGGTTGAGAAATTTTTTTCGCAAATTTTTTTTTACATATATTTTTTTTCGAGAATTTATCCATACTAACTTTAATCACTTGCACGTTTTCCAATTTTTACAGTTAAAAAATCACACGTTCACTTAAGGCAATACGCCATACATCAAAATGCAATAACATCGTTCTTCAAATAAGATTTACTCAGCCATTTTTATCGTGATTTTTTAACAACTTTGTCCCCAAAAAATGTTTTTTACTATTGTTTTTATTTTGGTAGCTCGATTCTCCTTTTGTACTACTTACCATTTATTGATTGGTACCTCTATATATATCATATAAAATAGTTATCTCATTTTTAATTTTTTAATTTTTTTCCCAATTACAAGTTTTAATTAAATCATTTTTCGATTGAAGTATTCATAACAAAAAAAATTCTATTAATTATTGTGGTAAATTCATTTTTTTTATTGATTGTTTCTTTTTTTTTTTTTTTTTTTCCAAAACCGGATCGGATTGGTTCCCTTTTTGAACCAAAAAGATCCATATAGCATGTATTCTTTTGCATAGATTTGATATTATTGATCATACCTTTTTATTGTTTCAAAATTTATTTATATAACCCTTTAAAATCTTTTTTTTTTTTTGATTTGAAATTTTCTTAACTGATTCAATTCTTTACCGTTTTCTCTTTATCCAAATAACCAGCCATAAAAAAAAAAAAAAAAAAAAAATACACAAACAACATGCAATCACAGAGATCATCGACCACTTCTCGTACGACATCACCTCGTACAACATCCATATCACGAAAACATTCCACCACCACCAAACAATCATCGACCACGAAAAAGTATTCGCGTAAATTTATCGATGAATTTGAATTAAATTATGTTAATGAGGATCATATAGAGGCATTCGCAAAGGCGCTATCGGAGGATCCCGAACAAGACTCAACAGAGCATATTGCCGCCGTAACGGATTTCATGCCGATTAGACAAAAAATTAAAAAGAAGAAACCTAAAGTACCGAACGGATTCGATGGTATCTCTTATCACATCGTTAGATTTCCTTTAATGGTAAGTTATGTCTGAAAGAAATGTTCTTGTTCTTAACTAGTTCTTTAACTGGTTCTTAACTTTCAAGATTTGTTTTTTTTTTTTTTTTTTTTTGTAGTTGTTTATTTTCCTTATCATCTCTTTTGAATTATTGTGTTACATATTGGTAAGACAAATCGTAAACCTATGGGAATACTTTGTTCAATGGTAAGGTGTTATTGATAATTGTCGTCTTCATTTTTCTTTTTTAAAAAATGGAAACTTATCCTTGAAATCTTGTAGGAGGGGAGAGAGGTATCGACTAAGAGAGACATTACGGAATTCATCCACGTATAAAGAATGGAAAGAAGCAGCACAACAACTTGATTCATATTTTCATTATGATGAATGGAAGGATGAAGTTCCATTCGGTTATTATGATTTCAATATATTACAAAAAGTCAACAGAGACTTAAAAAAATTAAGAGAGGAATCGTCATCGTCAAAAAATGATTCTCAAACAACATTAAAAAGCGTTTTACAGAATTGTGTAAAGAATAATTATGCTGGTGTTGAAAACGTAAGTTTATACTCTCAAACTTATTTTGGAACAAAAAAGATTGTTGAAAATTATGTTGAAGAAGGTAAATTACCTTGTCATGATTTCTTATTGATTTAAAAAAAAAATTTCATTGATGATAACAACATTCACTCGAAATAACTTTTTTCAGTGACGGAATCTCTTGATTATTTACGAACGACAAAGTCGTTACCGTTGGAAGAGAAACGCAGATTATTTAAAAACGCGCAAAAAAATTATGGAAGAACGGCATTGTGTTTAAGCGGGGGAGCATGTTTTGGGTATTATCATTTAGGGGTAGTGAAGGCATTATTTGAAGCGAATTTATTACCAACGGTTATAACAGGAACAAGCGCGGGAGGTTTAATAGCCGCTCTTATATGTGTACGTACTGATGATGAATTGGCTCAAGTGCTTAAACCAGACTTGAGTAGACAACTTACCGCGTGTTCCGAGCCATTATTCGTTTGGTTAAAACGTTTATATACAATTGGTGCAAGATTTGATGCGGTAGATTGGGCACGGAAAACTCAATGGATCACAAAAGGAAGTTTAACTTTTAAAGAAGCTTACGATAGAACTGGTAGAATACTTAATATTTCCGTTATACCTTATGATCCACATTCACCTCCTAAACTATTAAATTACATCACCGCTCCCGACTGTGTCATTTGGTCCGCAGGTAAAATTTTGCAGAATTATCATTCATGATCTTCTGATAGTTTCCCCCCCCCCCCCTTTCGGAATTTAACTCTTTTTTTTTTGATGTAGTCATTGCCAGTGCGGCGGTTCCAGGAATCTTGAATCCCGTGGTGTTGATGCAGAAATTAAAGGATGGAACCATTGTACCATATAATTATGGACATAAATGGAAAGATGGATCACTTCGTACAGATATACCGGTTCAATCATTACACATGCACTTTAACGTCAAAAATACAATAGTATCACAGGTTAATCCTCACGTTCATTTGTTTTTTTACGCACCGAGGGGTTCCGTTGGTAGACCGGTTAGTCATAGATATGGTAGAGGATGGAGAGGTGGATTTTTATTATCAAGCATTGAACAATACCTTAAATTAGATTTAAGCAAATGGTTAAAATGGGTGAGAGATTTAGAATTGTTACCAAAGGTCGCCGATCAAGATTGGAGTTCGATTTGGTTACAGAGATTTGATGGTAATATAACCATATGGCCAAAATCAAGGATATCCGATTTCTTTTATATCCTTACCGACCCTGATTATGAAAGGTTGGATGTGATGATCACAACTGGTCAACGAGTTACTTGGCCCAAACTTCAGATGATTTCAAATAGAATAAAAATTGAGAGGGCGATAAAAAGGGGGAGAGAACATGTTAAAAGAGAAGAGAGAAAGAAGTATAGATATCATAGAAGTGAAGAAATAAATGATGGTCACATTGGACATAGTAGGACCATGTCTTCTCCTTCAATAGTTCAATCCCTCAGTAATATCAATTTCAACATAATTAATTCGAGTAGCGGAAGCGATAGTGACGATTACGATCATTTCAGTCATTTCAGTAGTGGTCAAGATGAATCGGATGAAATCTCAATGTCCAACGTTGGAAATGGCAGTGATAGTGTCTCTGCTGATAGTGATAGTAGTAATGGTGAAAATTTTAGTAGAATAAATGATGTCATCATTGATGATGATGATCTTAGTTCCCTAAAGTATGATATGATCATAAGTCAATCTTCTTCATCGGATTACGATGATGGTATTGTCACTCCCGATGATGGTCAAGGGTTAACCTTTTATTGAACATTAGTCATAAACTTTTTATCAAAAACATTATTACACATTATTCTTTTTTTTTTATTTATTATGTATGATTCAATTGATTGAGTTGGTTAAATATATAAATAAATAAAAAATATTGAGTGTCAAACTAAATTATGCCAGGAAATGGTAATAATTGTTTGACATCAGTCACGATTTTTTGTGCTCACAAAAACTTTTAGGCATTTGATTTTTGGGGGAGAATTATAGTACTAACCGAACTAGTGGTTTTTTAGGTCCCAAAAATATTCTCGTGATCATCAATCGTTGGATCAAACATAGTTTTAAACAACGAGCCTTTTCAAATTTATCGATATGTATGGTTCTTCATGAAATTTTTAAAAATTTTGTCAAAAATGGTCTAAAAATTAATCCCATTTTTCTCAATCTAGACTGACATGACAAAATTACTTTAATCTTAATTAATTCAGCTCGTCTTAAAACAGGTTAAAGTGAACAATTTCATATCAATCACTCTGCTTAACATTTTGGGATGAACGAAAATTTAGGACCACGTTATATGCATGATCACGCCGCAAGTTTTGATATTTTTATCGAAATGATACAAAATACGCGCTGGTCTCGTTATACTTTCATAAAACCGGACCAAATGTATATAAGTCAGCGTAGGGGAGGGAAGTGGTATTGAACATAAACGAAATCTAATTTTCCCTATTTCCTTTATTTCCTTTATTAACACATTATTTTCTTTGCACGGTAGTTCGAATTTTCCAATCATATTAGTCTCGTTAAATCTCGTTTATTAAATGATCTGGGAACAAAAAAAAAATCTATTTGCCACCGATACATATAATAAAGGAAGGTTAATCTTTATCGGGTGAACATCCAATCAGCGCGTCACTTTTTAGTCAATCAAAAAAAGGGGGTTAAGATGAAAGAACCTACTTTTGTAATCAATCAATCATGTTAGTTTTATATATGAAAAGATTAACATGTCATATTTTCCTTTCACTCAGCATTCTATGTCTTTTCAGTTATGAGTTGATGAATGTCACTATAAACAGCGTGTAACCAATTGGGTTTTTATTTTCACAAGTTTAGAAATTGAATGATATATATATACATATGCGATGATACAATAAATAAAAGAAATAATACGATGCTAGTTCTTCAAGCTAATTTAATACCCTTAGCTTTACACATGTCAAGAGCTTTAGGTTGATGAGATAAAGCGGCCAATCTAAGATAATTACTACCACTTTCTTCATCTTTATTAACGCCAATCCCATTGTATAATATATTTCCAATATTATACATGGCAGTATGATTACCATTATCGGCCGACATCTGAAAATATTTTATAGCTCCTTTAATATCCTTCTTAACGGATTCACCTGACCATAAACAATGTCCATATCTTAATTGAGCTTCTGCTAAACCAAAATCCGCGGCCTCTTTAAAATATTCTATAGATTGTTTTAATCTTAATTGCTTTGCATCCTTGTCTTTAGGATCATCTACCGGACATATATCATAATATAAATAATAACCCTTCCAATACCTAATTATATCATTATCATTATTAATATTTTGAAAATTAAATGACTTTTCTTTGAAGGTTTAACAATCACTTACTTTGCAAGCGTATCGCCAAATTCGGCATGTTGACAAAAAGCCTTCCATGCTTTCAATCTATTCCCATTCTTTTTCCTATGTTCCATCGTGGCTTCTTTAACGCTCATTGTAACAACTTCAAATTCGCTTAAATCCAAAGATAATTCTAAATCGTCAGGATCCGGTAAATCTAATTGTGAGGGAAAACAGATCGGTGAAGCAGTCGGTGTTTTTCTCGGTTTGTAAATTTGATAAATGCTATTTAATGTCATAAAGATATCTTTTAAAGGAGGTCTTGCACTTGGACTATCTTGCATGGCTGATGATTCAAATGAAAAGATCATTAGATTGCTGTCAATAATAATCATGAATAAGAACAAATCATGCTTTGTTTTACCTCTATTGGCAACTTTTGACCATTCGATAGGTACACCGAGACTAAATGATGGCCTAAATCTCTGATCAACGACAAGCTTTCTTATTTTAACAATATCATTTTCCATTTGAAAAGGTAACTTTTCTTCGGCAATCTCCCACAATATCATACCAAAACTATAAATTTCACATTTCGAGGTGTAAGGATTGTTATGATCCCTTAATTTTTCAGGGGCCATCCATCTCACATTATCAATCGTTGCCTTAATATGAGTACTAAAATCTCTAAACCCGCGACTTAAGGTAAAATTTGCCAATTTTGCGCAACGATGTTTGGTGATTAAAATGTTTTCGGATCGTATATCATGATGCAATATAGACACCGTGTGCAAAAAGGTTAACCCACGAGAAATATCAATGGCGATCTGTGATTTTTCATGCCAGTCAAGTGGTCCATAATGTGTATAATATTCTTTTAGGTTACCATACTCACACCATTCTGTTACCATATACATTAATTCTTCTTCATTGATAAATCCGTAAAATTTCACTATATATCGTGATTCCTTAAGTTTTTTCAATATAATCACTTGACTCAAGATATCATTAATATGCTCCTTTTCTTCTTTATCGAAAAACCTTTTCTTTAATGCCACTTCTTCTCCTTTGCATAATTTTTTAATCACCTTACTACCACGTTTAACTTTTTCAAGTGGATCATAAAATTCACTTATCGGTATCGTTGCATCCGCTATGACATCTTCGTTACGCGAAAGTAACTTTTTTTGCCATGCTATGTTCCATTGAGTGATATCATCCAATTTAGCATTAATCCCCGAGATTTCACTTGCGATCCCCCCTTCAATATCTTGTATATACTGAATGAGAAGAAAAAAAAAATGATGAAATGAAAACCGACAAAAAAAATATATTTTTTAGAAAAGGTTCAAAACAACGTTTAAATATTCCTCACTTTATTCATCTCCTTAACATCATGACTTAAAATTTTTTTATCTTCCTCCAGTTGTATCTGATTAGAAATGGCGATTGAAAAGTTTAAGATTCTCATTAATCCGTCAAATTCATTGGTTAAATCGAGAAATTCTTTTTCAATATTATAAGCCGCCAAAAATTTCCTTAAACCTTTTATTTGTGAAATTTCTTCAATGAATTTCTTAATTTTATTGATGATTATGACCAACTTTTGAAAATTTTTATAATACTCTTTTGATTTGAATAATGATTCATTTTCAAACCTACGAATCTCCAAATTCTTTATTGCAGTTTCCGCCGCTGTTGCCCTTGATAATAACGATCCACATATCCTTTTATTATGTTCGGCCGTTTGATAAATATCAATTATATCTGATACCATACGTGAGACTTCTGATATTAACGGTGTAAACGGTAGGATTGAATCTGATACTTTGGATGCACCTATGACACTCATCGTTGCCCCTGTCAATTCTGTTACGTTTCTTATTGTTATATTACCATTTTCAAGATTAAACTTTTTTGGTACACTTTCTTGCATCATATACAATATGTATTACGGGGAAAAATTTGATTTTGATGGAATTTTTTGGAAAAAAAAAAAAATTGATCGGGTAAAAAATTGTGCTGCTATTTTATACGTAACTTGCAAATCAAGTCAAAATTGTGCTGCTTTTTTCTAGAAATTCATAACTTCCAGAAAGAAATAAAATAAGGTAATGGAATTACCAATTGGCCGAAAAGAAAATTCTATGGATTTGTGTCATGTGAACGCTTATTGACTTAAATTGTGATTTCCGTATGTAGATCGAGACCATTTTAACTAATCATGTAAATATTGTGACAGAAAAAATATAAACATTAATACTTTTTAAATAAAGTAAATAATTCTCCCAATTTGCTTTTTATAGTCATCCACGTCCGATTTCGTCGGAGTTATTCTTTCAAAATAATTTAAAACATTCTTGTTTATCCTTCTTTTTTTATTGAAATAAATATTTCTTTTAAAGCAGAAATGTAAATTTGTTTTCGCAGAATTTTTTGTTGGAAAATATATATTCACGTCTTTCAACTGTTAATATAACTATATCTTGTCATCTCCGATTGGAGTAACTTCATTTAATGATAGGTCTTTTTTCAGGGGAGCAAAACACAAATTGGTATATAATCACGTCAGGTGATAAATTTATTTCCGACGAATAATTAGTATGGATAAAATACCTTTTTTTTTGATTTTAGAATAAATTTAATAAATTTGATGGATTGTATTGTACAAGTAACCTGACTCATCACGTTCTCAAAGTTTTTGTAAATTACTGTTACAAAAGAAATATTAAAAATTCCCAAATTAATATTTGGTTAAACATTCAATTATTTTTTGAGTTTTGATTCTTTATTTAATATTTATACTTTTTTTTTTTTTTTTTTTTTTTTTTTTTTTGTTCTCGAGAAATTTCCTTACACATCCTCCGCATCTGTCCGGCAAAACACAGGAATCGTACCCGTAAAGGATTTGTTTTGTGATTAACATCCCAGCGTACGACAGAACTTGAGATAACCCTTGAATAATCGGATAATATTGTTTTTGTTGTCATCAGCTGACGCTCCCAGACTTTTTGATTAAATTCTTTAGATATCACATCACTTTGACACTTTTTCTCAAAATTCCAAACTATGTCTTACATATGTACTGTATATATACTAACATCTCGGAGAAATTTCCTGAAATTTTGAAATGAAATGCAAGTATCTATATATCTATTTACTACACCCCCGTCTTATGAATCGATAATTGAATTTAAAAAGGTATTCCCATTATTTCCATAAATGGTATTACTATAAATGAAGACAAAGAACTGATCGTTATAAAAGATGTGACAAAGTATTAAAATAAAGTATTTAATTAATTACATGTGCGCCCAATTCATATTATTGAAATATGCGTATGAAACAAGGCACAAATTATTTACGTCAAAGGATAATGATATTTTTGTCTAGCCTGTACTTCTAAAGGTTACAATATTTAAGGTTGAAGTTTCCAAGGATTGTTCATGAATGACATTTTAACTCTTTTTGACTCCTTTACAATTTTAATTTCTAATTTTCACCTTCGTATCATGAATAGTGAATGTATTCAGGTTCCCACCAATTCTATTGGCCTTATCAATGGCAAAAAAGGAGTCAACCTCAAAGACATAGAAAGGCGTTCCGGCGCTAAATGTGAGATAAAAGAGGATCACATCGTTGTGACTGGCTTTAATGATGCCCGTCGCATCGCCATAAACTTCATCAAAGATTGCGTCTATAATTCCATCATCGTTTACCGTCATCCCATTGAAGCGATTATTGCGTTACGACCGCCTTTGGTCGAACTCAAAAACATATTATTCGTGAAATATAAAGGAGTTGTGGATATGAATAATGTCAATAAGCCATTTTTTGTTTTAGACGAAGGAAAGAAGAAGAAAAAATATGAACAGCTTGATGACCTCTCTTCGCGTTTGATTAATTTAAACATCGAGTATGTAATGATAACTTTTTCTTTCATCGCATTTCTTTAATTGAACTTTTGTTAAAGAACCGCTTACATATTTAGGAAAATTAATCGTATCATCGCCCCGGAAAAAGATGAACCCTTGATAGATTATATTACAGAGCGGCTCGTTAAACTTGTCTCAAGTAATAAGACTCACATCTTCAAGCTCAAGGTAAATATTGGAAAGCAACTCTTTTATCCTGCAATTAAGAAGAAATTGCATCTACCACCTTCGGTCAAATTCGCCAATCTCCTTAAATACGAGATTGGTTACCAACGTGATATCAAGGTTGTATTCATGAACTATATCTCCTCTGACATAGCAAAGGAAATCGAAAATCGTCTCGGTAAATTAGGATACAAGGAAGATAATGAGAAGATCGTTCAAAGAGCTTCGATTCACTTGATTGATGTCAATGAGGAGAAACGCTATACCATTTCCACCGATATCACATCAGAAGGCTACCTAAAGATTCGTAAATATAGTGTTGACAACATGAAACATCTCTTCTTATCTTTTACTAGATCGAAATCAGATTTGGACTTTCGATTCAGAATTCTATCCCGAGAGCCACCCATAACGAACGTGCCTCACAGACTTATCAACTTAATCAACAAAGCTACCTATGATCCCGATACTATGACCGTTCATTTGACGGATACTACCGATTATCTATTCACGGTTATCCGTGTCAAGGTCCAACGCAAGTTGTTTAACAGCAAGGGTGACCTTTCTAATAGTAGACTAAAAGTTACCATTTCGGAAATACAAGAGATGGGAAAGAAAGGTACCCAGGTGTCTGTGACTAGTGATTCATTGCAAGAGAACTTGGAAAAATTAGAAGAAACGTGCAATAAGGAAGTGGGACAATTTGTAAATGAAATGAATAGGATCGTGGATGGATTGCAATACAATGTCACTGATTAAAATTAGAATCTCGTCAATGTAAATTAAAAAATTGACATATTTAAACCGATTTTATATTAATATTAAATTAAAATATTTCTTTGCCTTAATAAATTTGTGAATTACAGTATACCTTGAAAGGAAAATCATTTTATTTTAAAGAATAGCAACTTGTGACCTGATTTTTGTAAGGATCTATATTTTATACAATCGGTTCAAACTATATCAAATGACAATTAGGAGGTCTTCATTGCATGAGGACGTTCCACAATTCCATTATATATTTCTTAAAATGGATGATGGGAGCGGGGTAAAAATCAAATGTCATCATTTCTGGGATCAACAAATCAGGTACGAATGTTATCAGATCAGACTTGTTGATTACCTTTAATTCGATGTCGCCGTAAAAAACGTCATATACATTGATAGACCAATAAATATTCCAAAGCAAACAATTACGTTACGTACCGTTCCTTCTCATGTGTAACTACTAATCTACGGTACAATATGTACATCATGACAACAAACAATCGTTGGCGTTTATATATCGGTAGCCCTGCCGATATTTTAATGTTAGGATCTAATGATTGGATGAAGATATGCCACGTAATACTTTACCTATCAAAAATAT